GGTGCCCTCATGTGGATATGTGTGCTGTTATATATAATAGAAAATGAAAATTCTAGCCCAAACAAAGCCATAGAAACTTTAGCATCTCAGTTATGTACACAGAATTTGGACAGCTTGTTTAAGACAGGCTTTCATTATTTGCTGCCAGTGCAGGCAATTCCATATTACTTAGTTGTAAGCAGAATTTCCTAGCTAGATGCCAGGATATAGCATGGCTCTTACTGTAAATTTGAAGTACAAAACTGAAGTCATTCCGAACAGCCACAATCTATCTCCCTCACAAAAACTATTGATAGTTTTTACTTTTTAATATGAATCAAGTGACTGGCTTCCAGAACTAATCACACAACTTTTTTCCAGGGTTTGGAAAAATTTCAACAGAATATAACCTTTCTCGGAAAAAATGCCTTTCTTATTTACAAAGAAAGCATTCCAGTTGTCAGCCAACACAGAGAAGAGTTGAATATGCACAGGGCATCTAGGCTAGCAGAAATAATTCCAGTTTGATCAACCTCAGTGGAAGAAATTATCACTCAAGATCTAGCTATGTTTTTCTCAAAATACGCAAAACAGGTGAGTGAAAAGCATACAACACTTCCAATAAGAATACTGAATCAGTTTTATATATTGACTGTATGACGATGAACATCTGCAGACTGTCAGCAAGGGTCCTATGTAGATGGCAAGGAGGTAGGTATGGGAACACAGCATGATGCAAGCTGCAGCCAATCCCCTGGCTAGGGTCAGTGCAGATCTTGTGTCTCTTGTGCCACTGTCTCTTTGGAGTGCTTACGAAAGTGTATGCATTTTTGACTCTGTTACTCAAAAATGCTAAACTTTAATGCAGAATTAATCAGGATGATTAAATACAAGCCCAGCATTCTACAGAATCAGCTATGTAATCTTTACATCTTAAGTGTAAGGAAAAGATTGAAGGCAAACCAACTAGAATACTTTAACAGATATTGAAAGAAGTAACCACGTGACACAACCAGAATCTAAACCTACGCTAGACTGCCATTTGCAGCATATCCTATCATAATTGTGCTGTGTGTGCCCCCAGAGATAAAGATACTGAACTGAAATACTGTAAAAACTTCAGCAAAACTTCCATTTTCAAGCTGAAAAGCAGCTACAATGATTATAAAGAATTGATAGGTAGGGTACCTGCAATCTGTAATCTGATATGACAAGTGCCTACCTCAAAATCCAAATTCTGAACTGGTGGGTAAAGAAGTTGGTTTTACTTTCATCAGCCACCCACAGATCAGAGTAACTCCTGTGGAATTCCACTGGCTTCGGCAAATCCATATTGTGAAATGTTTCTTACCTTGTGCAGTGTTTTAAATTCTTACACATTATGATAATGAGGGGGCCAATAATTTAATTTTGGAATATAAGCTAACACTCTATTATTTATCTGCAGGCATTTCATGTCTCCCTGTGCTAGGTGCTTTACAAAAGAAGGACAGAAAAGCATACAAGCCAAGCATAATACTACAGATGAGAGGAGTTTTATCTTTGTTAGCATAATATCAGAGACATGACTTGTAGGTTTGGTAGCATTCAAAATTCTTTGTCCTTACAACTACTTAGTTACACAACTTTGGGGCCTTTGCAGGAAGTAATGCATGTTTGACATTACAATTTTTTTTTCCATAATGACACGCAACACATTTGATATTTTAAACATTTAGATTATCCAGATCAAGTATTAGCCAGGTAGTTCAGTACCAGGCACTTTAAAATATGAGGTTCTATGGGTAAAAACTTGTACTTTCCCTTGGCATCAAAGATTGCAGAAAGTTTTTACCTTAGCATCATCACTGAATGCCCTAATGTACTTTGTTATCATTCTTCAGAGCATGTGTTATACGGCTTATTGATCATCCAAAACTCCATAGCTAGTTTTAGTTGAAAGATGCTGGCGTGCATGCTGGCTTACCACAACCTTTAGCTATTCTTTGGGGGAAACGACAGTATGAAAATGAAAGAGGTCATCTCTTTAGGAATACTGTAGCTGTCAACAGAAAAGGAACATACTTTATACAAAACCTGAAAATTTATGGACCTTTTTAAACTCTCATTTAAGAAGTTACATATTTCACTTACTGCTGTTGCTCAATAAAAATAAAAAGAAATTCTTTTAGAAAAGACTTGCCCATAAATGAAGACAGTTGAACAGAAAGAGTTGTGTGCCTATGAATTATAGTTTCAGACTGCTTATACTCTGCCTTAAAGCTGTGTATTCTTTCTCTGTACTTGTGCAATGCATTAATATTGGAAGGCCGTCTTAAAACTGGGTGATCTATTGGTTTAGGGAGCTAAAGATTAATTCCAGATGTGGTCATGCTCTTCTGGCCCTTCAAAAAGTAACTACTGCACCATCTGTTTTGTAACAGACAATTTCAAAGAGTGCCAAGGGGAATGTTAAAGACATTGGTCAAATGGCCACATATACCTTACACACAGGAATCCTAAAGGTCATAGTGCCTCAGACAGATTCATATTTTCACTTTTTTCTCTCCATTGTTCCACCATGGAAGCTCAAGGAACAGTTCTCCTTCCTCTCACAATAGGAAGGAGACATTTTCCAGATTATTACCAGCATTGACATGTAAGAGGCCAAATTCAGACCTGAATTCAGTGGAATGACTGGAATTCATGGTGACATATCTCTTATACCTGCTCCACTTTCGAATCCCTGTAGATTATTCCAAACAGCTTTGTTGTTTTTCGGGGTTTTGGGTTTTGGGTTTTTTTTGGTTTGGTTTTTTTTTTTTTAAATGAACTTAGTAGCAGGAGATCAATGCTAAACTGACTTCAGATCTGGCTGGTTGCCCAAGACAAATGAAGGGTGCAACAGGTAATGAAGGGTTATTCCAGATCATGATAATTTTTATTTTTCCTGGTTATCTCAGGCAGCTCAAAGTAAAGGAAGTGTGTCTGTTCTTCTAAATACAGTGCTTGGCATCAATGTCTACATCTCGGGTGTGTAACAAAGATGTATTCAGGTCTAGCACCAACATAACTTAAACACTTCCCAACAGTAAAACCAGAGTAAAAGAAGTTGCCTGAAGACTTCCTAAGTATAAATCTGAACTTTAGAGCAGTAACTCATGATTTATACCAAACAGTCCTGAGAAAAGGTCTAAAATGAAAACAAAATGAAACAGAGAACCTACTAGAGGTTAGACAATCACAATCTTGTACAATCCCAAAGAGTAATTTTTGCTGCAGTGACATTAAGTAAACCAAGGGTAAAAAGAAATAAAGATTAACAACATGTCTCCAGTTGGTTTTTCCAGTGCATCCAGTCATGTTTTATACCAATTCTTGTAATAAGTTATTACAAAAATAGCTAAAGACTAGCAGACTAGTGTACCTACTTAAGTTTCATTGACTTTGCTGTGGTTTTCTCCATTTAACAGCACACTGAGGAATCAGTGCCTTAGTCCACAAGCTTACTGTCTGGGTATACACCAGCTAGATCTTCAAGTTCAAAGTTTGCTGCTGGTAAGTAAGAAATAAATTAATATTCTTAATAATTAAAAAAAATAATATTAAAATCCTCACCATTTGCCTCTCCTTAGTATTATTAGAATTGAATATCTCTTAAGCCATGCTCTATTTGGGTGGTGTAAGTGAATTCCATGCAGTAAGATTTGCACTTTTTCAGTATTAAACATTACTAAAACAAAGAAAGGTTGGAAAGCAGAATAGGAAATGTCTGCTTTGGAGAGCTTCATCACAGCTTTTAGAATTAAAGATGTCCAAAAGAAATACATCCTGAGAGGCTAATATACATATTGGTGTGGGAACATGCATGCATACCTGTTAGCTAAAGCAAAAGCCCCATTGGCTTAGGACAAGATCTAATTCAAAATACTAGACTCAATAAATAACACTTTGAACTAGATGTTACACATTGCAGCTACTCACAATTACACTCCAAACCAAAAGCTGCAAGAAGAAAATGGTGCCTGAAAGAAGGATCCAAAACAGAAAATATTTTAAGGGAAATCACGTGGAGCTAACCTATAGAAATCATAGAGAAGAGATGGGTTTGAAATCCCAGCCTCTACAGAGCTAACATATCTCCTCCAGAGCTATAGAAACATCTCTCACTTCATCTTACGTAGGTGTCTGTACTCCCCCAAAACAAGCCAAATAAGCAACAACAACAAAAAAAGCAACCTGAATAAAACTCACCCATGCAAACCAAGCTGTGTAGTAGTCACACCTCTTGCTGAGGCTGGTGTTCCTGGAAGAAAGGACTTCCAGAATGAAGAGGTATTAGAGAGGAGAGTTTTGTTTTAGACATTCATATTACACCTCAGCTTAATTTCTGGTTTTGTTTAAAAAATTTTAACCTCTTTTTATCTGTTCTATAACATAGTTAATAGATAATCAGAGTCACAAATCCTACTCTATTCCTGTGCTTTCTAAGCACAAATTCTGCCTTTAACTAAGTCATGCAACACAGGGCTGAAAACTGACCCATCCTTTGAAAAATACTCAAGAATTGGCTTAGGTGAGTCATTAGTTGGAGCTTAAATAAAGAAAGTCCAGAAATTCACTGCCAGTAACTCCTCTCTTCTTATTCTATAGTGGACCCAACTCTAAATTCAATCCTAAATGCATGGATAAACCTTTCAAAGCTCACTGTTCTCTGGTCTGAGAGGCTAATTTGCTCCAGCTGAGCCCAGCACTCACCCACCTCACTCTTAAGAAAGACACCTGTGGCACATCTTTTGCACGGGAAAAACATACCAGCCACTTGCTGGGTCATACACACCTTGTCAAAGTGATCTATTTAATTTAAGGTTTATAGATCCAAAATTACACAGCCCAAAGAAAAAAAAGAGCGCGGTCATTTTATTCACTTGACACATGCTGTCTTGAGGAGAGTTCCATTTGTAACAGTAGTTAATCATTCACAAACAAGAATACGGTTTTAAAAAATAACTTACTTGTTCCTTGCAGCAGATGATTAAGACATGGTGTACTGGTTAACTGGTACAAAATACATACTCCATGGAAATAATTGTATTTCTATTGCACATTTTTTGGAAAACTTTATCACTTTGACTTTCACTTTGTCATTTAACTTATCACTTTTAACTTTCTTACCTCAGACGTAAGAATTATTACACAGAAAGGTCTGTTTCCCTTCTCAGACATCTTTTGAAATGACTGGATTGTAGTTCCTTATCTGAGGACCTTTGGGTTTTTTTGCTGACAGTGTTGCATCCAGCTAGGACGGATGTCTTCCACCTGACCTCCTGCCTGAATCACAGCTACTGACCACAAACTCCACGTTGCTGACAACTGCAGAGTTCCCCTTGGTTTGGCTGACAGTACGAGCTCTACCTTTACTGTTGTGAGGTTACAAGTGTTACCAGGCAAACAGCACTGAAATAACCCTGGCCGCCCATGAGGACACGGGTTTGGGGCACACTTGTGCCCTGCGGAACAATTGCCATGGGTCTCCCCGCAGCACCTGCCACATACCCCACGCTGCTTTCCCCGAATCCCCGGCACCAGACTGCAGGAGGTTACACAGCGTTCTTCCACCACGCTGTCTTTCCAGGCGGGCAATCGCTGAAGGCGTAGAGTTGTTGCGGGGAGACAACTGCCACGGCAATCTCCACGCTGAAATAGAACCCGCCCCAGAAACCCTGTGATCCGCATTTTGATGGATCTTTGGCTTTTACACGTTAGGGGTACCTATGATATGTACGCGCAGTGGACATATAATGCGTGCAAGGCAGCGGGGGCGTGAAGTTTGCCATCATTTGCAATCCCCATGCACTCTGGGGTCTGAGCCCGTGAGAAAACCCGGCTTTTAAGGTGCCGTCCCCAAAATTACAGGCCGGGCTTGGGTGGCGGGGGGAGGGCCAAAGCCAC